GAATACGCCAGCCCACCTTGGCTGTTCGCGCACCCAGAAGTACCAAGGACCCCAGCAAGATGGCCACGCCCGCCCACATCTGCGCTCCAATGTAACCATGTGCCTTGGCAACGAGGGCACCGCCCAATGGCGGCCCTGTCAGACACGCGAAACTGACTATAGTGAAGCCCATGCCGATCCGTGTTCCAGCCCTACTCAGGTCCGTAATCAAGCTTGACAGCGTCGGCGGCCACATGCCTTGTAGTCCGTTGGCGCAAAATCCGTACAACACTGCAAAGGCGTACAGCCCCGCAGACGAGTGGACCGCCGCCCAACAGAGCATCAACACACCGGCGGCCGCCGCCAGGGGGATAATAGTATTGAGCGGGCCCAGGTGAAAAGACGCTAAATATGCGGGGACCAACCGACCCACGACGGCCGCGCCGTTCAACACAATGATCAGATTCGTTGACTCGGAGTAGCTGAAGCCAATGACTGTACGTCCAAACGCTCCCAAGTAGTAGACGGCGAAATACATGCCCCAAAAATTGAGCCAGATGCCCACAATAAAGAGCGTGTACACGGGATCACGAAAGGCAGCCAGCTCCACCAGGGGCCCGGACTTGCGCGGCGGAAGTCGTGTCTGTAGGAGACCTATGGCTGGTAAGCTGGTGGCGAGCATGACGAATCCCACCACACGCATCGTCCAGCCAAACCCCAGCGTCGGGAGCAAGCCCTTCACCAATCCCGGAAATACCATGCCCCCTGTTCCGCTGCCGACTAGGGCAAATGCCACCGCAAAGACGCGTCGTTGGTCAAAGTACGTGGCCACGAGGCCCATGGTCGGGCAGAACTGTAAGCCACTTCCCAGCCCCGTGCAGAGTCCCTGGGCCAGGATGAGCTGCCAGTAGCTGGTGGCGAGCGAGGTCATGAAGACCCCCAGCACCTGCAGGAGAACGCCGGCGCAGAAGACGGGACGGAATAGGCCAGCATCAAGGGCGCGGCCAGAAAAGGTGCCGACAAAGAAGATGAGAAAGATTTGTATGGACCCCACCCACGAGATGGCGGACTCAGACACCCCCAGCTCGTTCTGGTAGTAGGATTGGAAGACGCCGAAGCTGGCCAGATAGCCCCAGGTATTAAAACATACCAGGTGGCCCATGACAGACTGGGTCCATGCCTTGAGCCCCCCGTCGGGTGGTGGTTTGACTTGGGAAGGGGCAAGAGGGATCTGAGCTTGGGATACATCATCGCTACTGGTTTTCGTCATGATGGACTTTCCGAGCAGGAGAGCAGGCGTGCACGATTTCAAGATGTAGAGCAGTGTAAAATGACGAGACGTCTTCTAGACGCTATTTCAACTTACCAGTGGGGTCCTATGTCTGCTGTTATTGGACTGAAGCGCTGCATTGTCCCAAATGGGCCAGCCCCTACCTCTTTCCGCCCTTCGCGCTACAGGATAATAACCGAGGGGGTGTAGTGAGTGATAGGAGGGCCCCGGCCTTTACCCCGAAACACCCTTGAATGCATACGCAGTACTAGAGTGCATGAACAATCTCGGCCGAATGGTGTGATGTTGGGGGCTTGGGTGTTGCTATGGTCATCTTGACTCTGAAATGAATACTTTCAATTCCCTACCTGTACCTCGGGGTTCTGTGTTCTTCTCGGAATGGCACACATTCTTGGAGATGACAAATCTCACACTATTAGGACAGGCCTATGTCTGATCGTAGCTGTCGGGTTCCGTTACTATGATTATGCCAAAACAATAAAATGTATGTAGCCATCCAATGGTTGCGCCATGTCGGGAAGGCCGTCCTGCGCCGATCTTGTACGTATTGCGTATGCAAGCGCCAGCCTGCACGCATCTCCAATTCTCCTTCAGCGACCTCAGTTGAGGCCAATAGGCTACTACAAGCACCAAGCGGCATGCGATCTGCCGGGGATCTGGTGGGTTCTTCTTTTGCCCCACAAGCATGTTGCTACTAGGCTACTCCAATCCTTGGCCTGAAACCTCATCAAACAGAACTGATTACCCAATATGTGTAGGTCGGCATCAATCGTTGGCTTTTAGCAAGAGCATGTACAGCTTAAGCATTCAAAAAAAAAGTGACTTATGGATCGGAGTACCAAGTTTAATCAAGTGATGGTCAGGCCTGGATCTTGACCCTGTTATCATTTCCGCAATTGCTGTGGCTGTTGCAAGTTCGGCCAAATTAACATATGGGCCCCATACTCAATATCCTTTAACTTTCTTTCTGACACCTGCCAGTTTAGTCACAAGAGCAATAGAAACCTATGGTGCTTGAAAACCAAATCCAATATTAGACCCGCAAGTGACATCGATCATCTGTTATCGGTTTTTTTCTTTTTTCTTACCTTTTTTTTTCTTTTCTTTTTTTTTCCTTCTTCACCAGCTGCCCGCGTCAACTCTGTTCGACTCGCTTTCTCATATAAATGTTTTTTTCCATGAAACAGATTACGAAACATTTTATCTGTCTCGCTGATTTTATTAATGAAGCTATGCGGGTGCTTTGCTCGCATGGCCAAGTCATCCGTCAATTGGCTGCTACTCTTATTTCTGGGCCAGGGAATTTCGAGTGGACTTGCAATGAACAAACCGAGCTTACTGCATCAGTACATAGACTTCGTACATATTGATGTCCGTTGCGAAGGCGAAATTTTGTCATATTATATACCGTGGCTCCAGCAGATAATAAGCAAATGTTGATGGGAGGCGCTACCGCCACAACAGGCAGGCTTCCTCCACATACAGCCTTCGCCCATGCCACACCCTCTGCCTACTATATAAGGTAAGATCCAATTTATTTAATGTAAGGCTTGGTTTCTAGACCAAACAGAGTCCTACCGCCCAGTACTTTTAGGGATTTTATCCCCGAGGCATGGCTTCAGCATCTCAGGCAATAAAATACCAGATTTAGAAGGCGGTGAGGTATATTAAAGAGGCCATACTCTAAAGGGAGCAAACCTTGCCTTATAGGGTAGACGGAGGGTTGTGGCATGAGCGAAGCCCGGTGTGGAGAAAGCCTGGCTGTTGTGGCGGTAGCGCCTCCAGAAATTCTACGGAAGCAAGAAATAGACCTTTGCGGACAGAAAAGCCCCGCGTACTACCGCTTCATTAATCCGGTCATCTTTATATCATTTCTCACTACTCCGCCCTTCTCCTCAGCAGACCAAATGCAATTCATGAAGCCAGGCAATAGCCTCGAATCACAGACCGTTTCAGGCCAGACTGTCACGCAACCTAAGTTCTTGAAGCAATTATAGTACAAGCCACTTAACCAGCATTTGTTAAAGCAATGTTAATGTGTGATATACATATAGTCTTACGGAATAACAGAATCGTCATTATATGTTGGGACAGTAATCTCTTCGTTGGTAGTCTGACTAGACGCGATATATCTTTTTCGTTCTAGCAGTTAGTGCGCCGACTCTTTATCCCACAATAAAGAAAATTCTTCACCCTTATCCCATCCAATGACAGACATGTGACCGCAAAGGCTTATCACTGTGATGAGTTGGGCATATACGGACACTACATCACTGCAATATCACATTCCCGCGTCAAATTACCGTAACCTGTGATTGAGTGAAACGATTCCTCTCAGACTTTGACAAGCAATATTCGAATACATCATTGATAAGGGCTCAGAACAATTACATACAGAGGCTACATATGCTAAGGTTACATCTCAAACATATCTATCATCTAATGCACAGTATGTCAGATTCACAGCCCTGTCTACAGGGTTGAACACATTACAAGTTTTCTGCACAGCTATCTAATTTAGGCACCTCAACTTACCTCTGTGCAACGCGTCAACTTCGGACATGAACACTCAGTTTCATGTGAATGGGTTAGGGCTCAGTGGACATCAGTAAGACGCATCTATCGCCATAGGTAGTTAATACGAGCTTGAATATCAATGTCCATCATTCGTCCAGTATAGATAGCCCTGGATAATCAAGGATTAGAATACATTTACTACTGGTGCTCACTGCCATAGGCGTCAGGAAAGATTGTTACGCATGACATGGCTTCACTGTCGTCCATCGATCATCCACGACAGGGGAATGTAGTGTTGTCTGTTATGGACTACAAATGTCATATTAGCCCTTCGGGTTGTTCGAGTCATAGCGGATGCGAATAATATAACGGCCGCTGTTTGGCCAGCATGGTAAGCAAATTGTTGGTTCGGATATGGGCATTATGCCAGGTCTATTATCACCCGGAAGCCAACCATCTCGTCATTTTCGGACCATGTATCCTTTGGTTGCGCGCAGTAGAGCCCCCTGGTGAGTAACTCCACTACAATGGGTTACTGCAGCTCGGGCGTAAATTATCATCATATCAATTGACTCTAAATTGGGCTGATCTTTACGAATGTTCTGCTGTTATTGAAAACAATAATACTCACGAGAGCAACAAAGCAACCTGTTAGGTACATTAACCTAGGTATTGGTGCCATGGAGGCTAACTACATAGATCATGTTCTAAGTGGTATAGAGCGGGAGGTATGCCGCTTTCCGGGCGAAGCTCGTGTTATACATTCTCGCAGTTGAGGATCCAATTATATATAAGTGCTACTAGGTTCTCACTCAGCGGATTAGTTTATGGATTGGCCCATCGGATTTGGCCCATCGCTGTACTACTGACTACAAATCCGTTACATATCACTTGCCCAATATACGAGACAATTGCAAAACACGGGTGTCTTCATCAAACGTAAGCATAAGGCAGAATCACATTGCATCGCCAAGAAGTTTTATCGGCAGTAAATCGCTTGCCCACAACCGACCTGCTCACCACATCCTCGGCAAGGCTAGTCCCTTAGTGTCCGGATATATGAGTAAGCAGCATTATTAGGGTCTCCCCCTGTTCCGTGGGGAGAATCGGGGTGATTCATATAATTTCAGGCAGTTCATTGCCTTGTCCACCATCAAATCGCTCCCTGGTTGGTCTAAAGGTGGAGTTTACCCGCACATTCAAGATACTTGCCTCGATATATACAGATCCTGTTCCGTAATTCCGACCGCGCTTGGTTTCCACTTAGTATACAATGACTGGCCAAATCATCCTCTTCGAGATGCTAAGGCTGAGTCGGGCATGGCCACGAAACTTCTCGATCGCAACTGTCCCTCCAGGATTACACCCACCATTGACCGTGAACTCGCACCAATCCTAAAGCTGAACACCTGTCCCTCAACCATGACAACATTGACCAAAACCCGCACTATCGTCGTGCTGGGCGCAACGGGCAACCAAGGGAGCGGAGTCGTCCGCGCCTTGTTGCAAAAAAATCCATATCACCCAGCCTCCTTCAGCGTCCGTGCCGTGACACGCGATCCTAGCTCCCCCCAAGCGGAACGACTCCGCGCTGTCTATCCAGAAGAAGAAGCCTCTGGCCGACTACAGCTCGTGCCTGGCGACGTCTATGACGTCACAAGCCTAGAGCGTGCCTTCGACGGGGTCTGGGGCGTGTTTGCAGTCACAAATAATCGTCTCCCCGGGCAAATGATTGAAACCGAAGAGGACCTCGAGCATGAGCTGGTAGCGGGAAGAAACATCGTGGCCGCCGCCAAAGTATCTGAGGTGCGTCATTTTGTTATCAGCAGTCTACCCAATCTGGCGGACGCGAGCAACGGGCAATTTCAAAAGGTCTTCCATTTCGATCATAAATTTCAAATTGAGCAACTCGCAAAGAGCGAGTTGACTGCTGTGACGGCTTTGCGGCCGGGTGAGTAGCTGATCCCCAGATGATCCGATGTGCCTGAATTTAGGCTTATAAGATGTGCCGCGCGAAGGGCTGTTTTACACGAATGTACAATGGGTGCAATACTGCCGGCGAAACGGTAGGTGTATTCAATTCCACATTTAGCATTGCGGCAATATTAATCATCGTCCTTGTGTAGCAAATGGGATTGTCCGTTTTTGTCCGCCGGTCCCCCCGAACAAAACCGCAGATTGGACCGATCCGAGCTATGATATCGGTATATATGCAGCTGGCACGTTTGATACAATACCACAATCTATCCTCGTTATATGTTACGGTGGTGGCTAACAATCGTCGAAAAAGTAGAAGTGTTTTCTCTTGGGCCCGAAAAGACGGCCTCTAAAGTATACCCAGTGGTGAGCTCCAAGATGCGTTTTGCTGATCTTCCGGCCATTTTTTCGACCGTGCGACATCAATCGGCAATATTCGATCCTATCAGTCTAGATGATTGGGGTGCTGCAGTTGCAAGGACGGTTGGCAAGGGGTATGAAGAGGATATCAGGCAGATGATGGAATGGATTGCTGTTGCGCCAGATGAGAAGATTTGCTATGGGACCATGACCCCCAAGGAGGATTGTTCTTGGGCGGATCTTGGGGTGCGGGCTAGTACATTCGAGGACTGGTTGAGGAGGTCGGGTTGGCAAGGACCATGAAATCCCTTCTTCAACTGGCTCTTTAGGATAATGGAGGTCATAGTTGGCCAATATCTAGTTATGGATTTTGCTCTGAAGTACACATCACTATGCTTCCTGGAGTCCGGACTTGTCCACTCTAGGAGTATTTCAGCAAATCGGAGTAATTCTAGCTTCCGAGCGAGCAATATATTTACAGACAAAGGACCACATGAAACATAGCATTGGCACGGGGTTGGACTTCGACAAAGCGATAATAGCCCGATATGACGGCGCATTTGGAACGGGGAGGAAGGAGATCATCGCTGTATTTTCCCGAGTTGGATGGAGTGTCCGACTGTGTGGCGGCGTTGACCGATCAGGCGCGATAGCGACAATATCAGGGGTGGGTTGTGAACTTGTGGCACTGTGACACATGCTTTGCCCACAGGAGCTTTCTAGGTACATCTTGGCTCTTATGTTGTTTCTATGTGGAGTACCGGATTTCGTGTAGTCGTCTGCTGCTGCTCAAAGTTTCCTCCAGTCTTTTATTTAGTAATATTAACATACAAGTGATTGTACCCGGCGGCTCATGTGTGTATGCTCAGAGATAACGATATGAAGAGAATGGCGACCGGATGAATGCCAAAATTAAGCGCCCGAAAATATGATGTGTATAATAAAAAAGGGGAGAAGCTCTCCTTGGATCGCGTGGGCAATGCTCAAACAACTATAGGCCGCTAGGTTTGATATGGCGCTGAGCCGGTCAGTTCGGTAAGGGTCCCCCTGCTTGGCGCCCCGCTGACCGTTACGGTATATACTACAGAGCCATCCTATCTTTGCTACGATCGGAGCATACTACTGATTATGTGTTACGTGTTGTTGATCGAACCTTCTTCGAGTGTTTTTGCGGGGGACTAGTATAGCTGTAACAGAAACTTGTGCATCAATAACATACGTCGAGCTCAATGCGGAAGGGGGTTCTTCCGTTCAGACTGGACACCTTCCGTGCCGAGTGGGGGCTTGGATGAGACAACGGGTTTCCGGGACTCGACACGAGGGATCCGGTGTTTGGCACGGAGCATTGTCCGCATCGTGCTGTAACCCCCTATGCTATTTTGGTTGACACTCTGTGACTGGCCGAAAATTCCAGTGACATGATATCAATCCTGGCAGTTGATATGTTTAGTGAAGAACACGTGCCCACTCGCTACAATCCTGTTGGTGGATCTAGCTCGAACACCCAATCAAAGGTTTGTGCGGGAAATGACAGGATGTAGGGCCAGCAGATGATGTTTTTAATATAGCAGGTCAACGCAACAGTCCCCCAAACCCAGAGATCTGAATTATATCTCCTCCTCGACAAGCTAGTAGCATAAATGCGTTGTAGGGACCACCGCCCACTACTCACATTGTCTACCTCGAGAATTTAATTGTCTGGTCATACACCGTGCTTTCAATATGAGGCCCGACCTTCCGTCCACCATTATCGCCTTGATGGCTTTCGCGCATCATTCTAAGGCAGCGCAGTCTTCCATTGTCTCTGGGAGTGCTCCCGGCTTCGCGGCGGGCGTGACGGGAGGAGGCGACGCGACTCCTGTGTATCCGACAACGATCGACGAGCTGAAAGAGTACCTCACCTCTTCTTCGCCCCAGAACATTGTGATAGAGGGCACTTTCGACTTTGTGGGTTCTGAGGGCACCAAAACCTATCAGGCCTGTAACAATTACGAGTGCACTCCCGATAACGGCGGACAGGCCCTCCTTAACACGCTTGGTGGATGTGGTGACACCTCCACCTATGACGTGACCATCGACGTTGCAGGATACGAGGGCATCAATGTCGCCTCAGACAAAACTCTGGTCGGCAAAGGAACAGGCGCTGTGCTCAATGGTAAGGGTCTGCGGTTCGTGGGTGTCTCCAACATCATCATTCAGAACATCGAAATCACCAACCTCAACCCGAAATATGTCTGGGGAGGTGATGCTCTTACATTCTCCGACACCAACCAGATTTGGATCGACCATGTCACCACTTCATCCCTAGGTCGTCAGCACTATAGCTTTGGACAAGAGAGCGACAATGCCATTACAATCTCCAACAGTTTTATCAACGGGAAGACCGACTACTCTGCTACCTGTGATGGACACACGTACTGGGGCCTCGAGTTGGTCGGCTCTAGTGATCTCATCACTTTTTACAGTGAGTCTAAAATGACTGGATCTGCATCCCAGTAACTGAACCTGGAGATGAACTAATGACAAATTCAGAGAACTACGTCTACTACACCTCCGGCCGCAGTCCCGCCCTCAGTGGTAATACACTCTTCCACGCAGTCAACAATGTCTGGGCCGATAACAGCGGACACGCCATCGAAGGCACCGATAACGGAATGGGACTCTTCGAAGGCAATTGGTTCAACAATGTCCCCACGATTGTACAGAGCGGCTTTGTCGGCCAGCTGTTCAGCTCCGAGTCAGCTGATCTAAGCCAATGCGAGACATACTTGGGAAGAGACTGCGTCACGAATGCTTACACCAGCTCTGGTTCTTTCGACTACGATGACGATGGATTCTTTGTCGACTTTGAAAACTTGACCATTGCTTCAGCTGCGTCCGCATCTTCGATTGAGAGTAGTGTCCCTTCTAACGCTGGTAATACTCTGAGCAGCACGTAAGCTGCGCCACAGTGTGTAACCTGGGACATTGACGCGGCACCCGTTGCGTTCAAAAGATGCTTTTACTTGTTAAGAGAAATCATAGCACAATTAGGTACCACAGTTATGTACATTCTAATAGAGACAAGTTGTGCCTGGTGCGGGTATCCTCCATACACGTACTTCGCCATGAGTAAGAAGTGAGAATGGAGTGCATCTCAAATGACGTGTGTTGAAGAAGTGATCAACAGCTCTCACGAAGGGGTCCGCTTGTGGGGGTAAAGTACATACAGTAGTAATACTACAATGAGAGGTTAATTCAGTAACTAACAGCTGCCATGAGTAAGGATAGCTCATTTCTAGAGATTACACTAGCAAAAGTTTGGTAGTGAAGGTTTTCGAGCATGCAAGGAATACCCACTGCGCGTTCCCACGCCCATAGACCAGAGCAAAGCTATGGGCTTCGTATGCTCGCTCGGAGCCTTCTTTTTATATTTGTCCGCGGTCTACTACAGAAAATGAAAGATCACAATAGAAGAACTAGAAACTGGGAGAGAGAAGAACAGCAAAGCCAAGTATTATCCGTCAATGACTCCCTTACACTCGCCCAACATCAATGTTGCGGAACCATGGATGAGACAGTATCTCGGCCGGAGATGGCCTCTTTGCAGGATCATACTGTAAAATCCATCGAATGAGTCCCTTCACCTCGTCGGTTTCCTTCGAATCAATCTCCGGCTCCGTCGAGTCGAACTGCTCCTCCATGGATATCTGATCCACCAAAAGTGGTTCCTCTTCCGGACCGACTCCTCCGATTTGACAGTTGAACAGCTTCCTCTCAGGCGTAAAGTAAAGCGAGGAGGTCTTCCAATGCACGAATAAATCATCAGGAAGGGCACCGAGCCGTTCTGTAAGGGAGAGAAGATGATCATCATCTTCATATTCGGATCCTGGAACGCAGAAGAGCGGCTCTCCGGTGATAAGCTCAAAAATAAGGCAGCCGAAACTCCAAATGTCAAGCGTGTTATTAACGGCTCCAGTCAGAATAAGCTCGGGAGCCCGAAGGCCAAGGGGAGTGACGGGCTTTTCTGGGGGCTTTGAAAAGAAATATGCTGTTCATGATAGGCAAGAATGAGTACAAGTAATAATCGTAAGGAGCATAGAATGAATATTAGAATCAAGTGGGACTGACCGCCGCCCATATCGGACAATTTGACCTTAAAGCCTTCAGCGTAATGTGTGAAGGGCGACAGAGGCTGGGCAACGCTAAGATATCGAGGTGCCCATTTATCCTCTTTGCCATCCAGCCTCTTTACTGGGGGCGAGACGGACCTGGCTTCTATATCTTCCTCTTGCCGTAGCACGTCCTCTGGCGCTGAGTCGACATCTTTAAGGGCGAACAGTATATTTCCTGGCTGGAAATCTCCATGCGCGATACCGTTCCGATGCAAGAATGCCAGAGCCTCCAGTGACTGCTTCAGAATGCTCTTCGCCATCCAAAGCGGGTAGCGTATCTTCATTCCAAACATTCGAGGTTTGAACTGGGGTAGCTCTTCGACCATCGAATTCACACTAGGGCCCATAGGCTCAAATACAAGGCATTTGTGCACACCATTGGGGCCAGAGTGTTCGAACTCATCTAGCAATCCCGTGATGTGGCGGGCAGCTTCTACTGGCGCTGCCTTAGTGATGTGTTGTAAGATGTCTAGCTCGGTTGTCGATTCCGAATGATGGGATACAAGAATCTTCAGAGCGACATATCTAGTGTTTCTGGAGGGGGATCAATGAGGACCATTTAGAACATCGCGCAGTAGAATGACTGAAAATAAACTCACTTCTTGTTACGGGCGAGCCAAACCGTTGAGTATGAGCCCTCACCGAGCTTTCGAATAACCTTGTACTGACCATTGTTGAAAGTGTCGCCGAGAATGACGGGGTGATAACCACCTGGATGGTAATCCTCGATCCACTCGCAGGGTAGTGTAATAGCTTCAAATCTCCACTCATCATCCGTTGGGGCCCTTGATGGAGGGGTGGGAGGGGGCGAGATACTCATAGCTGCGACCCAGAGTGATTACCCTATTTCAAACAACAGTTCCGATCGGGTTTCATCAGAACGTGCTGACTGAAACCAGAGAGTCTCACGAGAGCGGCGTTGGGTCGAGCCATCGATTGGTTCCCACTGGTTCAAGTAATCCGACTCACCGCCTCATGCCATGGGCCGAAGGAGTATGCATGACAGCAGGCGAAAAGATTCCCCATTGCAGATGAGATAGCATTCTGGGCAGTGAAGTGATTGGGTACACTCAGCAGCAATACAATCCGACTGGCCTCATCGCATGGTAAGCGTTCAAAAAGCACATTCATCACTACGGTATATGTGGGGCAAAAGGCAAAGGAGTACAAATGGTCGACGATAGATGTGTACTAATGATAGCCATATCACTGTAACCCCGCATGCCAAGGAAGTAACAACTGATTAATCCGGGCACTCAAGAAGATTGGGCGTAATCGGGACAGAACATCGAGATGAACCACTTCTAGGTGTACACATCATTATAGTACCAGGAATAATTGGTGTACCCTAATATTGCAAGTCCAATGAGCTACTACAAATCCAACACTAGTAGGTTGAGGGTGTTCTACTACTAAGAGTTTGCTTCCTTGTTGGTTACCGATGAATCCCAACACGCTGAGTCCGTCTTGGAAATAGATTTAGGTCTTCGGCACTCGGGCCTTACTATGAATATAACATGATAGAAAAAGGTGACATTTTAGCAATATAAAGCATCCGGTAGCCATACTGCCGTAGTCGATCCTTGCCATTTGGAGCCATAAGCCTCTTGCCCTCCCTGTTCACTGTGATGTATGCAAAGAGGGGGTATGTCTTGTTTGGCCTAGCCGAAGGCCCAATTAGCATATTAATCCGTCACTATAGCTATAGCGATTTTTAAGACGATCTTTCTTGCTGCTTGACCCTTTGTTGAATCAAGTCAAGCCCTACCATCTTCTTCATTATGCGATCGAAGAACCCCAGTGGAAGGATGTTACCCAGTCTTACCAATGTCGAGAACCTGCCTCGCCAGATCCAATACGCAGGGCTACTTTTGCTGAGTTCTTGCACAACCTGACGTGCCCATATCGCTGGATCAGTATTACCAGAATTATCTGAATTATCCATAGCTTGTTCAATGATATCCTTGGCAATATTGAAGAGCGAATTTGGCGGCAGCTCAGAATATAATATATTAATATAAAAATTAAATTAGACAGCATCTGTTAATAAATTAATAATTTTAATATTCCACAGCTGTAGCTTTAATTATAAATTCTCTGTAAAGCTAGCTGCTGCTGCCTTAAAAATATTATATATATCTGTAAAGAGGCCTATGGCTGTAATAATTCTAGAAAAAAAATTATAATTAATAAGCAGAATACCATCTTCGTGAGTTAATTATATAAAAAAATAAAAGAAATACCTGTATTATACTGATAATAGACCAGATATTAAACTCGAAAAGATCATACTTCTTTTAAATATTAATATTTATGACTGGTATTAAATATCCAGCGCCTGTATTATTGACTAATATATTAAATAATCTGCTAGTCAGCTTACTAACCTCAGCAATGCACTTACTGATGGAGTTATTAAATAAAATATTAAGATAAAGTACTTTAAGACCTGACTTCTTAGTCTTCTTAAGCTTAGACAAATTTTAAGCTATGGCAAAGACATGTTATCTAGCTGCCTGGAATTAGAAAGCAAGATAAGAGCTGAGACTATTATTAAAACAGCTAGTAATTAAAATAATTTATTTTTTAACTATTTTTCTGTGTGGAGAGAAAAGTCTTAGGAGATATTATTAATATAATAAAATTTAAAAACTAAGTAGGAGCAGAATATATAATAATAACTTATTTATTTTACTAGTATAGATTAATGGTAATCAGTAGCTATGAGTAGACAAAGAAGTAATAATAAATTATGAATTACTAGTAGTATAATAATTGAAACTATAGAGAGCAACAAATCGAATGTCAAGAGTAAATAAGATGTTTGGATTGACTGAGGCTCGGGTCAATGTGGTGGCGGGAAAAACCAGACCGCCTTGCTATTGTTCTTTCTCCCTCAATATGGGGTTTTCCTGTCGCCCACCATTGCCGTGACATGGTTTTTAGTGTGGTAGTGTCGGGCGCTTGCCTCATCACATAAGCAGGAAGTGCCTGCCGTTCCTGGTAGGATAGCAATGGTAAAGGAAGTAAGGATTCCTGCTGGTTTTCTTCTCTATGATTTCTAATTAGTTTTATTTTTAATATAATTAGTTATATTGAATACAAGCAGTTCTTTATCATTTCATTTAAATAGTTAAATATTTAGTAACTAGACTAGGGCTTTGTGCAAATCTCTAAAGACCTAGTAGTTGGTAATATACAGAAAAAGAAGAAATACTGGCTGTGGTTAAAACTAAATATTAAGTCTTCAGATACTAGAGATGTTTAAATATATAAATTAAGAAAATTATACTGATTTATTTAAGAATCTTTATTAGATATTTAATAGATTAGTATTTACTGTAAGTCCAGAGAATAACTTAGCTTTAATATCTAGTTAGATAGAGACTACTCCCAGCGGGAATACAGAGACAGATATAATATTTTATATAAAAATAAAATCTTTTTATTTATATTTATATTTTTTTTTATTAACAAAGATTAATAACACCTTACAGGCTAGAAACAGAATAGTATTTATTTAGTCTATTTTTACTAGCAGGGCCGGCGAGAATATTAATCTATATATTAATTAATATAAATTAATATAATTATCAGCGGGACTATCAGATAAGAACTGATTAAGAATAATTATTATTATCTTAATAATCAGGCTTTAAAATAGGACTCTCAGATATACTAATACTTTAAAAATAAAGATTCAGAAGAATTGGTAAAGATTATCTAAATATTTTAAAATATAATTCTCTCTGCCAAAGAAGCAGGAGTTAATTAAAAATATTATAAAATAAATTATAGTACTGAGATAGGGATAATATATTCTTAAGAAATATATAGAAAAGATATTAGAAATCAGCTATATACTATTATTAAAGAAGCAGAATTTACTAATATTAATAATTATTAATATTTTTATTAAGAATTTAAACTGTAAGAATATTAAGAATATCCTTTACATAATTATTAGAAAATAAATATGTCAGGAGAAAAATATCTTATTAAAAAATATTATTAATATTACCGAGAGCATTATCAAAGATAGATCTAAATATAAATAGATTACCAGTATCAAGATTAAGAATAAAAGGATGATTAATATATTAAAAAGTATTATATAATATTTAGAAAAGATAAAATTATTACAGGGCTAAAGACTCTAAATTAGTCAGTTTTAATTATAATAATAATTTATATAGTAATAGCAGTTCTCTATTACTGCTCACTAAGAACTAATAGTGATTAGAATCTGTTATTATTATAAAAAAACAGGCTATATTTTTTCTATATATATTAATAAGCCACTACTGAGTACTGATTAAGAATAAATTAAAAATAAAATATAAGCAAGATATTAATTCTAGTAAAATCTATAAAAATTAAGAGCTTTGAATAATAGATCTTTTACTAATAATATTTTAAATAATAATAATATATCAGAAAATAATAGAGTAGATTCCAGTTCAGCTATTATAGTTAGCTCTGCTAACTAGCAGAATATTAGATTTAATAATATTAATATTACTACAGGCTCTAATAGTTAGAAAATATATAAATTAATTTTATTATCATTATTCTCTGTTCTTATATTATCAGACTTGATGCTGTTCGGCGGGCGAGTAAACTTTATAGATATTAAAAAATATAAATATTAAGATTATTAGAATAGATTCTGTTATATAATTATAAAAAATTAATATATAAATATTTTTCTAGTAAAAAAGAAGCTTGGGGCCTTAGCTCAGTTATAATAAATTTTTATAACTAGAAAAAGTTCAAGAGTTAACTGGTAAGATAATATAAATAATAATATACAAAATATAATTAGATTATCAGAAATTCTAATTAAGACTACTAATACCCCTGTTGATATTATAAAAAACGAGATGGTGCGGGTATAGAAATAATATATATAAAAATTAAATATTAAACTCTTCAACTTTTAGAAAATATTTAATAAGTTAAAAATTAAGATCTTACTAGTTCAGTTATTTAATTTAATCTTGTCAGTGAGGATAAAAATATTAAAATTAATAAAAATTTTATAATAACTAAAAAAAACAGATATCAGATTATAATTATAAATTAAAAAATAAGATAAGAGAAAGAGACTTATCTTAGAATTATATATATTTAATAAATAAATATAAATTATAAATATAATATTACTAGTTAGATAGATTAGTCATGGCCTAGATAAGTTAGAAAATAATACAGAATTTAATAATTATATATAATCTAAAGATCTAAGTGCTTTAGTCTTATTCTTTACTATCTTTATTATACAAAGCATGACAGGTGATAATAAGTTAAAGATTATAAAAATATAATTTATTCTTATTAATAACAGGTCTACGGCCAATTTAATATCCTGATATATTATTGAAAAGATGAGGGCAAAGATAATCTTTATTTTAAATATAAAAAAGATTATCTTAAGAAAGAAGATAAAATTCAGAGTTTTTATTTAATTAATAATTAATATTACTAAGATAAATTAAATTATTAGAGCTTTTATTATAAACAGTACTCCAGGATTCATGTTATTTCTGGAAAGATACTAAATATATACAGTTTAACTTATTAAAAATTATAGAAAAAAGACCTACTCTATCTTATAAAATAATAATTAATATATTCTATTATAAAAAAGCCTTAGAATCCAGTTAATTCCTCCTAGATCAGAAAAGATAGAAATTAGTAATATCTAGTTATTAATTATACTGTCAGATAATAAAAAATAGCTTATAAAAAAGTATTTTAAAGAAAAGAGTTTGAAGGCTATAAAAAAGAAGATATTAAAAATAGTTTATAATATTTTTAAAAAAATCTATAATACTGATTCAGATTTATTAGAATAGAATAACAGTGATATTATTACTGAATTAAAAAACTAGATCTAGTCAGCAGTAACCTAGGATTACTGACTAGAAAGTTTAATTTAAAAAGATCACATCAGGTCTATAAAATTATTAAAAAAAAAATTAAAAAAGAAATAAAATATTTAATAATAAAGAAACTTTTTAAATTTTAAAAGTCTCTGTATCTAGAGGATTTAAGTACCGCGGAGTAATAAATATAAAAAAATCAGTTATTAATTAAAAATATAGTCTAAAGATTATATTAATAGAAA